GACGAGGGTTGCGAGAGGTGGGGGAGAGAAGAGATGTTTGCACACCGTGAGAGGAGTGTGGGTCTATCTAGATCTATCGGCGAGGTGTCCTGCGCGGCCGCGGGTGCGAGCGAGACGGGACGAGGACGCCGCCGACGCCCCGGACGCATCCCCCCCGGGTGGGCCGGCCGGCCGGTAGCGCGCGCCCAGGCCCAGTTCAGTTTATTATCAGCGGCTGCCGTGCCTGCTGCAGACGCAGTCGTACTCGAGCGCCGGAGCAAGACGGGACGACGACGGGCGGCACACACACTTTGGCGAGCTCCCCCTCCCCCTCCTCCAAATCCTTCTCTTCCTCCACATCCGGTACATTCAACCCACCACCCGACTTCCGGTCACTCAAACACGACGACAGCGCCACCACCATGACGGGGCCGATGGTCGTGGACTCGAAGGGCGGCGAGGCCGTCGTGGACAACGCCAAGATGACGCTACTGGCCATGTTCCTGGTGGGCCTGAGCGCCAACTCGGGCCTGCTGTTCGGCTACGACACGGGCGTCGTGTCCGGCGCCATGCTCCTCATCAAGTAAGAGTCGCGGGAGGCGTGTTTGTTTTTGTTTTTGTTTGTGTTGTTGTTTTCGCGTTGTGGTGCAGTTGTCCTTTTACTCAACCCCTGCCACGGTACAAAAGTAGGGCGAGCAGAAGGGAACAGGGGGAGGAGATCCTGACCCCGACTAAGCTCAAAAGAGACAAACCTGCCGTCATAATTTTACTTTTTCCTCTCGCATTTTTCCAAAGAAATGACCTGTTTGGGTTATCATGTTATTGGAAAGGGTCGAGGGGGCAATGACTTTGGGAATCATGTGAACACACAGGCCCGGGAATCAGCGGGAATCAATGAGAGTCAGGACGGGAATCGATGGGATTTATGGATTCCCGGAATTATGTGTACACTTACTTGAATTCGGAGTTATTTCCCCCTTGGAAAGGGTGTATACCCTGGCAATACAGATGTGTGTACCTGGCATATTACTTAAAATAAAGTATGCATGTCCATGAACACATCTGTTAGAGTGTGTAGTAGGCATGTGCACATTTATAAATGCCTAGCCTGTATTTGTATCGACAGAGAGTCCTTTGAGCCACAGGCGGTTATGCAAAAACGCGTAACTTGCCATCCAAAAGGACCGCCGCGCCGGCCTTGATCTTACTCCTGGATTTTGTACGCCCTGTGCGTCGTGTGCGAGTCAAAGAGTTTCATGTCCCTCCTCGTTTTCCGCGTGTGTGACTAATCCTCAGGGGGGGGGGGGGAGGAGAAATAACAAGAAACATAAAAATGTAAGGCATCCGCTACCGCACAACTCCCTCTCTTATCTAGAGTGCCAACAAGACAGACCTGTTTGGCACACGCCTCCATTATCAGCGTGAAAGCCCCGGCGCCCCGCGCTAAGGGGGTGGTTTTTATATGTTGTCGAAGGGACACCGCGTCGTCGTCGATAATTTAGATCGATCGATTGCCGGTTGTTGTTGTTTTCCGCGAGATGCTGATTACCGGGCCGCTATCAATGCCATAAACTGCTGCGGCAGCACGCCCGGGAGCTTTATCGATTCTTCAAGATTGACACATATCGATTCGATTACGGGGGGAAATACACACACACAAGATGAAGTTACTGTCTTGACGAAAGTGGCTGATAACCCTCCGATAAGTAGCCTCTCAAACTAACAAAATAACGAATCTAATAGCCCCTCCTCCCTCTTTTTTCTTTGTTTTGCGTTCCAGAAAGGAGATGGAGCTCACCGACTTTTGGCACGAGCTGATCGTGTCCGGGACCATCGGCGCGGCGTGGGCCTTCTCGCTGTGCGGCGGCTACCTCACGGGTACGTGACTATAAACTGGGCCTTTTCTTACCGGTCAGAATATTTAACGGTGAAAAAAATGTTCGTAAATTAACGAGGATTCACTCTGGTAATTTTATTTACAAAGTATTCTTGTT